GGTGTAGCCTCGTGTACGTACGTGAGGAAGGTCAGGAAAGGTCAGCTGTAGTTGTGAGCCAAACCACAGAGTGTGTTCTCTGCAGGCTCAGAGCAGCAGTTTATGGAGCACATCACAAAGATGCTGTGTTGCATCAGAAGATACGGGGAGCTTTTATGGTGTACAAATGCAGCTCATTACGGTGGAGACGGCCTGTGTTTAGTGCTGCTGCCTCCATTCTGAGCCCCCACCTGTGAACAGGACAGTGATTATCTGTGGATGGGCCCTCGCAGCGTTCACTCTCATGCTGCAATTTGCTGCAACCAGGCAAATAGTTTTTATCTTCACAGTTATCATCATTCTCCAGATTCAGCTGTGTCAGTCTGCAGAGCCGCTGGCACCCTTTTGGCCCGTTCGCACGGCAGCCAATGAGGCCTAAAATGCAGAGATTTACTGCTGCAACACCTCGGCCTGAGAGACAGCCCTGGCTTTTACTGAGGCGGCCCTGAGGGAGGCAGACTGAGGAAGATGGAGAGGAGGAGGAGGAGGAGGCTGATGACTAAAGCAAGAGCTGGAAGAGAAAGTTGTGTATCAGTGAAGCTGGCTTTATGACAGTGGCTCATAGTCGTTCCTTTGTTGGACGTTACATCAGGAAAAGGTTAAACTTGTGTCTTTGTGGCGACATGCAGTCTGGTCCTGCAGAGTGTTGGCTCTGCTGTTGTCTGGCAACTTGAGCATCATGCTAAAGGAAATATCCACATTTAGATTTCTCTTCTACATCAGCAGTCTGATGTTTGAATCTTTCCAGGAGCTTTTCTGTAATAAAGTGTTATTCTCCAGAATCACCCACCCCCTTAACCAAAACACAAAGTGTGTTGTTGCTGGATTGCTTTATAGATTTTTGAGGCCTCTGTGGGTGGTGATATTAACGTCTCAGCCTTTCCTTTGATGCCTTTCTCCCTGTAAGATTATCGTCGAACGTTAACAACATAACAGGCCCGGCAGCGCACGTAGCTCTGCCAGCAGCTGTTAAAATGTTTCAGTCTGAATATTTGATTAAACTCCTCATGCTATCACGATGCCAGCGTTTGGCACCGCCGTCCGCATCATTGTTGTGATAGTAGAAAATGCACATCAGAAGTGGGTTGGGGGCTGCGTCTGATCACAGCTGACGGGTGCAGCAGAGATATTTGTTGTTTACTCCTCGGTGAGAGTCGCGAGGAAAGTGCAGGAAAAGCCTTTGAAGCAAAAAAGAGCCCCTTTCAGAAGCCTGCCCCCTCATACGTTCATCAATAAAAGATAAGGGAAGGAAAGCAGCACGGAGATGAGATGGTGAGGCAGTGACAATGAAAAAGATGAAATAGCCCATTTCTTTTCATTGATCTATGAGCCCGATGGGAGGTGCTGCAACTGGGGAATTAGTTTGTGTTACAGCAAGTCATTGTATCTCCACCCTGTACATGAATACAGACGTGCTGTACAGACACATATGCACATACTGTTAGAGCCTCATTAGAACAGGTACTGATATGGTTAAAGGTCTGTGTGCCAGGTTATTACGCCTCCACGCTGGTGATAGCTGTAGCAGGAGGCATTATGTTTTCATGTTGTCCATCTGTTTGTCCCATTCTTGTGAATATCTGAAGAATGCCTTGAGGCATTTTATACAAATGGACTCAAACACTCAATGATTAACTGGTGATTTTGGTGGTCAGAGGATATAGGTTAAGGTTACTGTGACCTTGTGTCCATCCCAATCTCATGAACATGATATCCCAAGACAGCTTGAGTGATTTTATTCAAGTGTTTATTGTTGAGTCCAATTGGACTCAATGATTCAACAATTAACTGATTCAATTTTGGCGGTCAAAGGTCAAGGTCACTGTGACCTTGCGTCCGTCTCATTCTGTGAACCTGATATCTCAAAAACACCTTGAGGGAAATACTTAAAATGTAGCAACAACTTCCACCTCGGCCTAACATTGAACTGATTTGATGGTCAAAGGCCAAGGTCACTGTGATCTTGCATCTGTCTCATTTCATAATTTCATCAAAATCCGCTCAGAATTTTTTGAGTTATTTTGCAGACAGACAAACAAACAAACAAACAGACAAACAAACGGACAAACAAACGGACAAACAGACCAACGCCGGCGAAAACATTATCTCCTTGGCGGAGGTAATAATGAGATAGTCCAGTACAGCAAGCGTTTTTTTTTAATTTTTTTTTTTTTTTATTTTTACTAATGCCATTCAAAGAAAAAACAAAGGGCAGCGCGGTGCGTCTCATGTTTTGGAACCTGCAAAACACTTTCCGTGTGATTGGGGCGATCACGCAAAGTCATTAGTACTTTTTCTGACAGATCTGTACTTCCTCCACCTCTGCGTTAGCTTAAAATCATGTGTGGAGAGCCACTAGTTAAACTTGATTACTCCACTGAAGAGCTGATCTCCAGAGCTGTGACTTGCCGGCAATATCTTTGTGGCCATTGTCTTTATAATGACGGGATTGTGGGTTGTTAAGCTCAGGATATTCCTGGACCTAAGCAGCGAGTCGCTCCTCATCCATTCTTTGTCACACATTAAGCAGCAACAGCTACACAGTTCTCTTTATACATCCATGGTGAGGAGAGGAGTCAAGCTGCTGTAGGAGCAGAGACGAAGAGCTGCTACGGGAGCTGGTGTGTACAAGCAGAGAGCGAGTGGGGGTATAGTTTGAGTAGAAAAATATATCTGCGAACGGCTCGGCCATGTTTACTAGAACGTTGCTAATGTAATTTGGCACTTGGAGCTGTGAAGGTGCTACACTGTGGGTTTATCAGAGCTCTTTCCACTGGCCTGCTGCCTCTGAAAACCAAAACAATGAGCTGAAAGGCTGAGGGGTTTACTGCAGAGTTTTCATCTAAAAATATTTATGAGTGCAGCGTTAACGTTGTCAGTCACTAAACTATATGCAGAAAGTTGATGGATTTGGTTATTTGATATGATTTGTTTTTTAAACTGCTCTGACACTCTACAACATGAGATTATCTCAGGTCGTGGCCTCGTGTGTTTGCATACCTGAGCAAGGTGTCCTCACTCCTCGAGGGCTGCTTCAGCTGCTCCTGATCATTATCTCCTTACAGTGTTTTAGTCTGACAGCTGGGCGGTTGAAGACAGAAAATTATTATGTCTTTAATTCTGAAAGTGACTTGACTCTGAGTCATTACTATCACTTTACGTCTGAGGTTTCACTGTACGACACAAGTCACTGCCGTCTGCCGCAGCCTCTGATTCAGGCCATATGTTTAACTGATGAGGTGTCTGAATCTGTTCCTGTGACTGTCAGCAGATCAGGCTGATTTGTTCTCCTCGTCCTCCCCGAGTATGAAACATATTCACAGCGACAATAAGAATGGGCTTTATTTTTCTTTATTTTAACACCAAAGTGTTGCATTTAATTAATTTCACAATATCAGTGTATCATGGTACATTACGTTTTTGGAAAAATGAATTAAGGATACATTAACAGATATTAAAAAGGAATTAGCATTGGGCAATATAACGCAAATACTGTTTTTTATAAGTTTTTTTTAATCAAATACAAGACTCATTTTATAATGATCTAATAATTCAAATCAGAATTATTTTGTAATGTGAATTTAATGATTTGTGTGATTTTATTGAACTAGAACATTCAAATAATCTTCACAGGCCTCAGTGGGGGGGTCAGGTGAGGTGTTGTGTTGGTGGTGGGGGGGTTAGCATTAACTTTCATTTGTTGATGTTATTTCAACACCTGCTGAGTCTGATTGAGAACGCTCACTGCTGTGTTCACGCTGCGTTACAGAGAGAAGAAGCTAGTGGTGGCGTTCTCTGTTTTAAAGGTCCGGTTGTGAAAACGGCAAATAACCAAACAGTGAGAACTCACAGCGGTCGTTTCTCCTGTAAGCTTGGCACAAACATCCATTTGGTGAATGTTGGATGGCGGATTTTGGTGGTCAGAGGTCATGTTCATGGTCATTGTGACCTTGTCCGTCCCATTCTTGTGAACACAAAATCTCAAGAACACTTTGAGGGATTTTTATTTATTTATTTATTTTTTTAAATTTGGCACAAACTGTCACTTGGAAACGATAATGAGCTTATCAGATTTTGGTGGTTGAAGATCAAAGGTCAAGGTCACTGTGACCTTGCATCCACATCATTCTTGTTAGGCTGATATCTGAAAAACACCTTGAAGGGTTTTTTTCTTTCAAATGTGGCACAAATGTCCACTTGGACCCAACGATGAACTGAATGAAATGACATTTTGGTGGTTGAAGTTCAAAGGTCAAAGTCACTGTGACCTTGCATCCATCTCATTCTTGTGAACACAGTATCTCAAGAACAGCTTGAAGGATTTTATTCAAATGTTTATTGGACTCAGTGACTCAAGAATTAACTGATTAGATTTTGGTGGTCAAAGATCAAGGTCACTGTGACCTTGTTTGTCTCATTCTTGTGAATGTAATATCTCAGAACACCTTTAGGGAAATACTTACATTGTGGCAAAAATATCCACTTAGACTTAACAATGGACTGATTCAAATTTGGTGGTCAAAGGCCAAAGTCAGTTGTGTCCATCTCGTTCTCGTGAACTGGATATCTCAAGAACACCATTTCTTTTTCAAATATGGCACAAACGTCCACTTGTATCCAAAAATGAACTGATTAGATTTTCGTGGTTCAGGGTGACCTCACAAAACATGTTTTTGGCCAAAACTGAAGAATTCATCAGCTGATTATGACAAGACTTCACACAAATGTCTAACAGGATAAAATGATGAAGTGATGGCATTTTATAACCAAAAGGTGACATCATCATGTTCTGCATGAAACACCTTTCTGTCCATTCGTCAGCATCATATCTCAGGAACAGAAGGGGAGACATTTTGTCAGACACTGAATTGGTGACTCTTGTTCATTGCTGTCTAGTGTATCTCTGTTTCAGTGTCTTGTCTCTGAGCAGTATGTTTAATTCAACCTCTCTCGTCCTGCAGGCCAACCTGAACGACTCCCACAACCAGATGGTGGTCCACTGGGCCGGAGAGAAGAGCAATGTTATAGTAGCCTTGGCTCGAGACAGCGCCGGAGCCACTGGGCCCAAAACCAGCTCTGTAAGTAAACCTGAACACACTCATGTATATGACAGCTAAAACCAGGACCTCCATGGTCTTTAAGGTCTGCTCTGACCTCCCAGTGTTCACAGTGTCTCACCTGTCTTCATCCTCCTCGTCTGCTGAATCTTATTCACTAAACTGCCTCAATAAATCAGCAGCGCAGCAGAAGGTGTGTGTGTTCACACTTGTCTAACATGTTTCTCATGTTTCTGGTGATGTTATGATTGTTGAGCCACAGATTAAGCCCTCCATCTGCTACATTAACACACCCACACACACACACACACACACACACACACACACACACACACACACACTTAGGAAAAAGCTAAGAGCCTGAAGCAGTCATTGAACATAGCATGTCTCGTCTTTATCTGTTTGTGTGTTGACTCCTCCACCTGGGCTGCTGTGCTTTTCATCAGCTCTCACAGCTGTCTGAGAAATGAAAAGTTAAAACACAGAAACTCTTTTAACTCTCGTCACTTCAGCCTTTAACAGCTCTGAAACACTTTCATTTTACGCCTCATGCTGCTGCGGCTCTTTTAAAATGTTGGATCTTACTTGATTTTATGATTTATGGTTTTACATTTCTCTCATTTATGATGATTTATTTAATGTGCTGATCTCTTTATGATTTTAAGATTCATGGTTTTGCTTTGATCAGTGGTCGATCTGATGGAGAAAGACTGTGGCGAGGTCTGGGTGGTAGATTCTGGGGCAGCTGTGCGCCGTACCCGGCACAGACGGGTGAGGTTAACTGTTGAGAAGACGCTTATTTCGGTTAATCGTGTCAGAGGCCTGAAAGGAGACACAAGAAGAAATACAACGTGAGATTTAGATTCAAAGGATCTCAAATCAGCACCACATTTAAATGAAACAGTTAATCATTGTTTTAAACTGTTTATTAATGTCCTGTCATACTGAATTGCCTGATTTTTGTTCATCTGTTTTTGTATGAGGCACTCGGTGCTTATAATGCCGTCCCTGCTGCATTTCTTGAATGAAAGGTGCTGTATCAATAAAGTTTATATTTCTTATTATTGTTGTTAAATAGTTTACTTATCAGGAGGTTTTTAACCTCTCTAACTCCACCAGGATGCTCACGTCCTTGCTCCCCCCCTCCTCTGTTAAATGGTATCTCCCAGGCGCACTACGTCATCAAACCATGTGATGTTTGGTATTGCCGGATTCAGGAAGCTCTCGACTTTTCAAAAATAACATTGTTTTCTTTTATTTATTATGTATTTCGCACCAGTGCAGCCTAAACACACAAAGTCCAAAATCGCGATGAGTGGTAACAAGTCATGTCATGCCGTTTTTTGACGGGAAAAGTTAAAGGATTACTCGCAATCTTATGTGGAGCTGTTAGCGGGGACTTAGCTGGTTTATAAAAGGTAAGAGTCTCACTCCTACCACTATTTTTGTCTGAGATCTACCGTCTAGAAAGTGGGATCATAACTTTCACGTTTCATATGGCTTTATTTGGTGATATTTTATGGTGTTTCTGTGTCATAAACAACATCAGCTATCATAATCACACCTGATTTCAATAAGGTACAATGTTTGAAGCTGGCTGAGTGTTGTTTGATCACTGATAGGACTGTTTTGAAGCAGAGTGAGCGCTCTGTCATTTGGAGCTCCACCTGGATCTTTTCATGGTAAAAACACTGTAGAATGGTCATACTTTGAGCAGTCTTCTTCAAATTTGAAACAAGTGTTCATTGATAGTGTGCCTACAGCCCCACAGTGTCATTTACCTGCTCAGATGAAGCCACAGACAGTTATTCATTACTCTGTCTCTGTATCACCTAGAGTGTTTGTGACACTTTCACAAGAAACTGCAGGGAGTTTTCTTTCTGGCAAGACCTCATGCATGCATGTAGTCAGAGCGGTTCAGAAGCTACAGTCATTTGAATGTGGGTATGTCATTTTAGGCGTTTTCACTAGAAAATGGGGGTTAAGGCCAATACCAACATTGATTCATTTAGACTGAAACAGTCATCTGAAGGGATGCACCGATGGGACATTCTGGTCCAATACTGATGTGTTTTTTGTTGTTGTTTGTTTTGTATTTGTTGTTATTTATTTCCCCTTTGTATGACAGAGAAACGATGAAATCCACATTATAAAACAAAACAAAACTGAACTGTTATGAAGTCATTGAAACAACCTTAAATATAACCGTCTTCCACATGAAACATCTTTTTATGCCAGAAAGTCTGGAAGAGTCGTGTAATTTCACACTCTCATGTTCCAGACCAGTCCTTTAACCTCAGCACATGTACGTTACCTCATGATGACATCATGTCCCTTCAGGATTTTGTGGGTTTTTCTGGGAATTGTTGGGGCATGAAATGCAGAATTTCACTGCAGCTTTTCTAAATAATTGCAATTCTTGTCGCAGTGGTTTTAAGTGTTATTATGCCTCGGCTCCAGCGATAGCCGTGGCTGGAGGCATTTTGTGTTTTTTGTTGTGTGTCTGCAATAAAAATCATTTAAAATTCTGCACAACTCATGTAATTTTGTTGCTTGTAATGAATTTAATTGTGACGTAACGGCCGATTTATTTCCTGTAAGTTAGCCGTTGACATAACATAGCTCTAATATGCGCCAACTTAGGGATGCACAAGATACTGTTTCGGCATCAACGTTGCAATGTGCATTAGTCCCAGATCGATGTTTTTACAGACATGGATGTAAACTGTAAGTGCAGCTTGACTGGTGCTTGGCGGCACACAACCATTTCTCCTGCTTTCATTTGCTTGTTAAGACACAGGGGTGGCAGTAGCTCAGTTCATAGGGGCCTGGGATGGAAACCGGAGGGTCACCGGCTCAAGTCCCTGTCCACACCAAATATGTGTGAACTGGTACCTGGACAGATGCCAGTTCACATCTGTCTGACCCTGAGCAGGGCCCTGAACCCAGACTGCTCGGGGCGCCAGTCCATGGACAGCCCTCTCACTCTGACATCTCTCCATTTAATGCATGTACGGGTCCTGTCTGTGCGTGTGTGTGTGTGTGTTTCGGGCCTGTGTGTATGACAACAGAATGAAAACATTGATTTTCCCCTCGGGGATCAATAAAGTATATCTTCTTCTTCTTAATTATGTAATATATCTGTCAAAGTTTAGATAAATATATATCTAAAAACTATTAATCACTCAGCACAAATATACAGGCTGTAATCCAGAGTTATTTTTATTGTAGTCATCATGAACCACAAGGTGCAGTTGTTGATTACTCCCTCCTCCATCTCTGTCTCCAGGTCTATGTGTCCTACGACTATGGGACCACTTTCACACTGGTCTCAGATAAGTTCCAGCTCTCAGGGGTCAAGGCGAAGGACGGCAGCAAGCAGGTCATCTCCCAGTTCTACCACAGCCCTGCAGACAACAGGAGGGTAAGTCACTGCTCCAGGGCACTGCTGATGGGGAGGTGATGAAAACGAGGTGAAATGTACAGTGGAGGAGTCTCTGTAGACGAGACTGGAATTATCATGTCAGCGGCATTAACACATCTAACACAAGGTACAGTGTGTGAGGGGAAACTCAGAAGAACTGCATGAACCCTTAAAGCCCAGTTAAGACCAAAGATTCACGACGAGATGAAATCGTTGCAGAGAAAAGTGTCAGCGGTGTGAACTGGCTGGTCTGAGCTCGACTCAAGCCGCTTATGGTGTCAGCTGACACTCAGCTGGTGAAATGGCCGGCGGCTGGTTTTAAAGCACGTCACCTGTTTCAACAGCCAATCAGCTTGTCGTGAAGTCCGCTGGTCAAGTCAAAACTGCAGACGGCGTGTTGGGTAGCTGCAGCAGGTGCTCCGTCCCCGCCGAGCCCTCTGTTTCTGTCTTCAAGGTGTGCTGGCGTTGGACGGTGGGTCACTGCTGCTGCTGGCTGTATGTGCTTTAGCTTTTTTTCCCATTAAGAGTTTGAGAGTTTGAATGAAGTTTGGTAAGAGGTTCAGATAAGCCTCTTTTACATTGACTGTTGAAGGCAGGAATTTCATGCCATCATGCTCCCTCGCCATGCAAAGGGTACAGTTATGGATCGTTTTTCTCGTCTTCAAGCCAGCATCCGAGGTGGTAACAGCACCGAAACAACGTCTGTGTAAAAGGGACAGTTGGCAGGATGAGTTTGACATTTTGACGACTTGTTATTTGCGTGACCCCCTGCCAGGAGATTTAAAAAGTTGCTAATAGCAGTTAGCAGCTAACTCCAGAAGTTGTACAGTGGCCAAAAATGTCTGCAAATTTGCGCTGCAAGATTTTTGATAAAACAAGAATCACAGTTTTTTTGCTGTGAGAATTGGGCTCACGAATTTGCTCTTACACCAGACCACTGCATTTCTTTCCTGTAAAAATTTACAAGTTTTGGCTGGTGGTTTACCTAAGTTCACTTATCGAGGAGGCTCGCCTGCTTCACTGTGGTGGATTATACTAGCAAATCATCATGATAGCTAACGGTACCATCCTGTGCGTTGACTGGTCCAAATGCTCTCCACATTGTTTTACATTCCTACGAACCTAGCCAAATCCATCATGGCAGGGAAAATCTTGAATATCTCCGGTAGAGCTAACATACATGTACAGTAGCACTACTGCATGTTAGAAAAGCTACATGCTAGGCTTATGTCTGACTCCTGCGTAACCACGACCAAAGATTTGGCAATCTTTGCGGCAGCCTGGCCTGACCTTGCAGGTAGCTTTGTGGCTAATTTGATTGGTTGAGCGTTTGCGAAGGTTCAGGAAGAGTCTGTCAGCCTTGAATTGCATTTGTGCAGGCAGGGAAAAATAATGAGCACTCATTTTAAATATGCAACTATCGGAAGCAAATATTGCAGAATCGTTGTCTGTTAGAAATCAAGTTGCGATCTTTTAACGATTGACCGTGCAGCCTGATCACAAATTGGAAAAACATTGAGTTCCAGGAGCTCCTTACCCTCCGAGGAGAGGACGAGATTGGCTGCCACATAACAGAGAGGGTTAATCATTGTTAATGACACGTGCCAACGCGGCCAATGCAAATGTTTTATGTCACACTAGAGGCAGACGCTGTTGTGTTGTGTGTCATGCCCCTCATGCCTCTCTATCTTTGGCGATGCCAGCATGCTGTCTAAATTCACACACTGGAGCATCATGGTGTTGATGTTGTTTGGTTCTCTGTAAAGATTCAAAGGTGGTGTAAAGACAGGACTGTGTAGCGCCTCTACAGAGCGATCTCTGTGTGAAAAGAGCCATAGACAGCGATGCTCTCATAATACAGTAATTAAGCTCTCAGAGCTAACGCATGCTAACTACGCTACCAATGGATCTGAAATGTGCAACAAGAAGAACTGGCTGTGAGCCAGAGGAGCAGGGAGCACAGCAGAGAAGATAAAAGCTCTGTCGCTGTCTGTGGAGAACGCTCATGGTTTCACGGGGCTGACAGGGTGTCAGGGGTCATTTGTCTGGCTCAGGTGGGTTCAGTGGAAGATGGAGCTGTACAAATATAGGATAGGCGGAGAGAACAAAGAGCAGGATTCTGCATTAAATCAGAAATAACCACGTGAACAAAGCCTCGCTGTGTGTGCTGGCAGACATGATGGAGTGAAGAGGTTTTACCTTCACACCTCACATCTCTGCAGTCCAGACTTTTAGAGCATAAACTTCATCATCATTCAGTCACTGTTTAAACCGAACTGTTTAAAGTTTATTTCTTCTGTATGTGTTTGCCGAGCTGTTAATGACGCTGCGTGTTGACAGATACCTGTGCTTGTTTTGAGGCAGGTGCCAGTTTAACAGGTTCTGTGTAACCAGTCATGTGACTAAGAGATCTGACCTGAAATGCACCCGTCACACAATACTGTTGGATATGTGACTCTCTTTGTATTCAGTATCTTCCTCATCCTTAATGTCTGTGACTTTGTCAGCGTGTGCCAAGAAGGTGTGAGGTGTCACCTCCCTGTGTACGGTTAACAGATCTGTCCTGATATTTTATGGTTCATCAGCTGTTGTGTAACATACTCAGAGCAAGAGTTAAACAATTTGGGAATATGCTTATCTGCTTTCTGTCCCAGAGTGAGATATGTAGATTTATATCATGTTAATGTCTGTGCTTTAAAGGGATAGTTTGAATTTTTTGACGTATTGTACTGTATAGAAGTGACATATAACACAACAGTGTCGACCTCTAGTGTGACATAAAACATACGTGTTGGCAGCACTTAATTAACAATGACATCACATGTCAATAAAAATCATCTACGTCCCTGGTATATGGCGGCTGATCTGGTCCTCTGCTCGGAATGTAAGGAGCTCTTTAGTCTTATTGTTTTCCCAATTTGTGGACATTTACAGCCACTGTTCGTCTTTGAGTTAGCTGCTAACTGCTAACAGAAACTTTTTAAAACTCCCACAGTGGGCGTCACGCATAGCGTCATCAAAACGTCACACCCGTCCTGTCCATTGTCCTGTCCTGCTGGATATTCTGTTTATACAAACATCGTTTCAGCATTGTTACTACCTCCCGTGGCAGCTTAAAGGCGAGAGCGCTCTGTCCCGCCATTCTGCGATTGTACCTTATGTACAGCACGGTGAGGTGGTATAACGGCATGATATTCCCATCTTGAACAGGCAGTGTAAAAGAGACTTTTGACACAACAGTGGTGTCAATCATCTAGTCAAACTCTTGTAGAAAGCAATGTAGCACGTTTCTCAAAATGTTGAATTATTATTTTAAGGTCGTTTGTCGGGCTGTAGTGATGTAATGACAGAGTCCAGGTAAATTCCAAGGTCCCGTTGACTCCAGCTTGAAGTCCGAAAGTGGCAGCGATCATGCTAAAATAGTCCAAGACCTTTATAAGGATGAGAACAGATAAAAAGAAACCTCAGCAGCTCACGATAAACACTACTCCTCAATGCAAAGAGATGAATTAATTGGTTCAGTTCATGCATTCACAATCACTCTCTGTATTAGTAGGCAGAAAACAAACCAACCCTGAACAACAATACTACTTTTAGAATATTGAAAATCTAACTGTAGCATTAGTCAGCACCAGCTCAGAGGTTAACAAAGTGCTGCATCTTGCTTCTTGGTACACAGTTATTATTCAGTACACTGCACTGCTCTGAACACTTGAACAGCTGCTGTTCCCAGTGGGACTGAATTAGCAAAGCTTCGCTGTACATTAGTGATCTGGCACCGCAACACTGCACTCAGATATCAGTGGAGCAACTGAGAAACACTTACAGTAAGCAGACATTTGCTTCAGTTACTTATTTTCTCTGCACTTGATGGAGGTTAATGGAACTATCGTATACAGTGACAGAGTTTTACCCAAACAGGAATTGCTACTGTAAATCTAAAAGCACTGATTTGATCATTTACTCACCACCTGTCTGGAGTTCAGCTTGTCCTGTAATCATCCTGTGGAGGGATTTAAAGATGCACTCCACCAATTTAACACATAAAACTGGTTTACACGTTGTGTTTTGTACGACTCAGGCTGGGAAAACAGCTGTGTAACGTCCTCTTTGGCGGCGCTAGATCTAGTCGAGAAAATAACCCTTGTGTCATGGTGATGTCATCAGAGTTACTGATTCAAGCACTCACCAAATATCTTTTGTCACTGACTTTATATTTTTTTAACAACAAAAATGTGACGGCTGACCTTCATCTTAACAGATAAGGAAAAAAGTTAAAGTAATTCACGGCTCTGTCCAGTTGATTAGCTGCTGTCTAGTCTCGTCCTTAATCCCATGTGCACATCGGTGCTCTCTAGCTGGCTTTAGACATGGCATTGGTAGGCTGTGTCACCACATACCAAAATGTTAAAGGATAACTTCGGTATTTTTCAACCTGGGCCCTATTTCCCCATGTGTATGTGTGCGTATGATTCATAGGTACAACTCGTTCTAAAATTGGTTCAGTATTGAGGGAGGCGGATGCAACCGGCAGCCGCGAAACGAGCTAAAACGCTAACGGGGGCAAATGTGTCCCGTATAAGTTTTTCGCCACTGACCGGTTCAGATCGCCAGTGCTATCTCTGTAAATAGCATACTAAGCGTTTCCCTTACCTCACAGGAATCCTGTGATCTATCAGCTGACTCCCTTCATCAGTCAGTTGATCCATCAGTTGATTGGGCTGTTTGAGATCAGCTGATGTAGCTGGGATGTGAGCTGAGCTTGACATCATGTCCTGCCTGAACTACTTTCTATTGATGCCAATTAATCAGCCAAATGGATAAATCAGCTGACGTCTAATTTATAAGCTTGTTTTGCGAGTTATTAAAAGAAGAAAATGAATGAGTAAACATTAAATTCTATTAAATATGTGTTATTATCATTAAGAAAAAAGAAAATTAAAATGATGGGTATCATCAGGCATGAAGGGTTTCACGATACAGGATCCAGATTTGCAGTTTGACCCATACTTTGGGGAACAAGTCCCAAACCTCTGCTGCTTTTTAAAAAATTGTCTCTTGTGATTCTCCTAACGTTATGTAAGTCCAAATTACTGGAGCGCCCCTTTAAAGACCGCAGGAATATTCAGAGTTTGATGTTAATGTCAGGACTAATGTCTGGATAACAGGCGAGAAATCCTCCTCGTGGATGTGATATTTTTTAAGGGAGCGTCTTTGTTTCTTCTGGTGTGATCCTGCCTGTTGTCGGTGTGCAGCGACACTCCTCCCTGCTCACACAGAATGGAGTGGTTATGGAGACTACACTGACACAGCACATCAAAGCGAGCTGAGAATAGTGGGATTAGCACAGCGCCATTACATAATCAAACTTTGTAACAGGGTTGGGGAATACATGTTAATGGAGCTCTAAATATGTAAGACTCTTTATATTAGACATTGTATTTATGTTTTAAATAATGCTGAAGATGCATCCAGGAGAAGTCTTATGTCTTCTTCTTCTTCTACAGTATCTTTTTGTGGACTCTACCAACAACTTCCTGTGGAACACCTTTGACTTCTGTAAGAGCGTCCAGGGCTTCTCGCTGCCCTTCAAACCCACAGACCTGCTGCTCCACAGCCGAAGATCCAACCTGGTGCTCGGCTATGACGGCTCCCACCCAAACAAACAGGTAAAGACTCCACCTGCAGCGACAGCTTTATCTTCGCAGGGTGTAGTTTCATCATTGTTTCATGATCCAGTCTCAGGTGTGATATCTCAGACATTCAGGATGAAACCTAGTTGAATTGATTCATGTGACCGCTTCTAATGTGTGAAGGCTGCTGCGCTGTCTTTCTGCTTTTTAGGGTGCTTTCACACCTGACCTGTTTGTGTTGGTTAAAGTGAACTCAGGTCAGTTTGCGTGGTTGGTACGGTTCGTTTAGGCTGGTGTGAAAGCTGTCAATCGACCAAACAACTGAGCCGAGGTCGTTTGTAAAAGTCAGTGTGAATAGGAACCAAACCAAAACTAAAATGCAACGATGGATCGTGTTTTTACGCTCTGGTGCGACCAAATGAACTGAACTACAGGTGTGAAATCAACCTTTTGTGACTTTGTTCAGACTCTTGCTCTTCTAATTTTTTTAACGTCCGAGTTCTGTGTTATAGCTGGAATCTCAGGTGAGAAGCTTCATGTTTAGACACAGTATTTCTGCCACTAGTGCAACTAGACAAACCCTCTGAAAACGGACCTCTGGAGAGCAGTCGTGAGGGAATGTTGTTTTCATGATGCTGATTAAAATCGATCTGAAATAAAGAACTGTAATAGCTAGAGCCTTCATTCCTTTTGCAGCAGAAAGCTAAGACCTTCATCTTTTGCGCCTTCATGTTGTCCGCATTCAATGATGCCATCACATTATTTCACAAGCAGTCTAAAGATGGTGAAAATATGAGGTGACGCCACAGCACTGTCCCATCATGGCCTACAGAGATCATTGTTTACATTATCCTGATTAAAATCCATCTAAAATAAAAGCTTTAAGAGTTCGAGCATTCATTCTTTTTGCATCAGAAAGCTCATACTTAACTCTATGGTGTAGGCGTGTTCTCCGCGTGCCATGACATCATCAAGTTATGCTACAGATGGTCCAAAAGACGTTAAAAATGCATGGCAACGCCACAGCACTGTCCCGTCATGGCCGACAGAGATGGTTGTTTATATGATCCTATTTAAAATCATTCTAAAATAAAAGCTGTAATAGTTAGATTGAGAGGCCTTAGACTTCTGTCTTACGCGCCATCACTTTGTCTGCATGCGATGACGTCATTATGATCTGTTACAAGACGTCCAAAAGACAACGAAAACGCCCGGTGATGCCACAGTATTGTCCCATCATGGCTGATATGATCCTGTTTAAAACTGATCTAAAGTAAAAACTACAAGAGCTAGAGTGTTTAACCACCTTTAAAGTCATCATGGTCTCTGCTTGCCATGACATCATCAAGTTATGTTACAAACGGCCCAAAAGACGGTGAAAATGCGCAGCAGTGGCCATGGGATATCGTTATTTATATGATCCTGATTAAGATCGTTCTTAAATAAAAACTTTAATAACTAGAGCTTTTATTTTTCTTGCAGCAGAAAACTTAGATGTCTGTCTTTCGCGCCGTCACGTTGTCCTCGCGTGATGACGAAAAAGAGGATCAGAGAAGCTGGTCGATGTCCGCTTTCTGTACTCTTTATTATATTCTTGTATCAAATATTCTGATTTATTGACTCACATAAGCTTTTAGCTTTTAGGTTGTTTAGATTTCAGGGATATAAAATACCAAAACATGTCTGTGTAGGCTCTAGGGAAATATTTCTACTGCAGATGAAACTATCAAACTGTCTCTGCACTCTGCTCATCAAAATTAGCATATCATAAAAAACTAAAAAAGCACATAGTTCAAATAACTTACAGAGTATTCATTATTGATCATGTTTCTACATCGAGAAATCATTTGTTATTGACTTACATAATGTCGTAGCTCAGGTTGTACAGATTTTAGAGATATGAAACATTTAAAAATACTCCAAGAAATGACATCACAATAAGCAAGAACACCAACATATGCACTGGTGGATCAAAGATTTAATTATCAGATCTGTGGGAAGTGCTTACAGATTTTTTTAGTACCTATTGAGCTGCGATCAAATGTTCCACACTCATGTGATGTGTAATATTTCATGTACATTAACGCGGGGCCCAGAGGAGAGACTGTTGGCTGCTCAGCTTTTTGCATGGAAGATTTTTTTTTGGTTTTCTCGTCTCCAGTTGAAGCACAATAGCGGAAAACGTCTCTCCACTGTTCTCCCTGTGACATGTGTAAGAGCCAAAACGAAGGAATGAGCATGACCTACATTTTTACAGTGCACCATCCCCCTCTTCTTCTTCTTCTTCCTCCTCCTCCCCTCCTCCTCCTCCTCCTCCTCCTCCTCACACCGTCTCTCTCCCCTCTTGTAGCTGTGGAAATCAGACGACTTTGGGGAGACATGGGTGTTGATCCAAGAGCACGTGAAGACCTACTTTTGGTAAGACAACCACTGTGTCAGCTCACCATGAGCACAGTATGTAGTGAAGGTTATATATGTGTGTGTACATGTATGTGAGGTGTGTGCTGCTGTTAATGGTTCACTTAACAAAGGAATGAGTAAATAAAACCTTCCAGAAAATACCAGCTCAGTCAGTGTCACTAAATAAAACATGTTTCTAGTCAGTTCGTCTCCACATTCAGACTAATTACAGTAATTTCTTGTCCAAAAAATCTTAAATATTGGTCTGAAATTTAACTTGCGGAGAATGCCAAAAAAAACAGACTGATATTAAAGGGTCTTTGTGTACTTTTAAGTCCTGGGCATCAGTCAAACAACTGACAAACATAAGACTGAACATGACCGGTTGATAGAATACTTGAAAATAATTACAGTCATATTCAGAATGATGTTGCTGTCTGCAGTGTTCCTGTCTTTTGTTTGGCTCTATGATACCATCGAGCTCGCAGTTTGCAAATGACTTTATCAGCTGAGGTTATAAAGCAGCCAGCGATGGCCGACCTTACCTGAGGTTACAGCAGAGACCGTTGATAAACTGAGACGACCCACTTCAAATTCATTTCCTGTATCTGTGTCACGTGGGTCAGAGTCCTGCACCGGCAGCCAGCGACTCTGCAGACTGACACAACTGAATCTGGAGAATGATGATGACTGTGAAGATAAAAACTATTTGCCTGGTTGCAGCAAATTGCAGCATGAGAGTGAACGCTGCTAGGGCCCATCCACAGATAATCACTGTCCTGTTCACAGGTGGGGGCTCAGAATGGAGGCAGCAGCACTAAACACAGGCCGTCTCCACCGTAATGAGCTGCATTTGTACACCATAAAAGCTCCCCGTATCTTCTGATGCAACACAGCATCTTTGTGATGTGCTCCATAAACTGCTGCTCTGAGCCTGCAGAGAACACACTCTGTGGTTTGGCTCACAACTACAGCTGACCTTTCCTGACCTTCCTCACGTACGTACACGAGGCTACACCAGGGCTCGTCCTGTCACAGATGCCTCGACAGTTGCACGTCAGACCAGCGGCAGCCCTTTTCCTTCAGTTCAGACCGAGGGAACACTTAACAACATTTTTGTGGTCCATTTAAAATTCCAAATGCACAACGCACTGTGTTAGTACATCGTTACTGACACCACCCACATATACAGCTGCAGTGTTTACCACCAGTTGAGAATTTATCTGTAGTGGTTTGTCTCAGGAGCACCACTCAACTATTGAACCTCCCATTAGTCCTGCAGCGGGGCGGGAACCTGACGGGTAAACCACAACAAGCTTTGTAAAGGGCAAAAATATGTACATATGTAAATTCAGGGGCACGGGTGAAAAGCAGCCTACATGGAGTTCAAGACACCCAAGGAGGATCCTTTGGAGGTTTGATGGTGGTGGAAGGAGCATGCTAAAATATTTCCTAGCCTGGCAGTGATTGAATGTTTTCACCATCCAGTCAAAGAGACGTCTCCTTGGACCATGTGTGCTGGAGCTACAAACCACTTCCTGTTTGGTGGTGAATCATGGGAATTTGATGCCTTGCCATGGTCACACAGTTCAACGAAAACTCAAGGTCTGAGCAACTTCTGATGTGAAAGGTCATTAGATGGTGCGGACAAAATTTGAAGTCAATCAGATAAAACCTGTAGGAGGGGTTTGTTAAAGTATGACCCCTGGAAGTGGCCAAAAATGCACTAAAATTACACATTTAATTCAAAACGGCCGACTTCCTGTTGGCTTTAGGGTACAGCTCCAAGAGACTTTCTTTGTACGTCTTTGGATGTTACATGCACCAGCCAAGTTTTCCAGCTTCAGGGGTTGCTTTGTTGGAATTTTGTAAGTGGTGCTGTTGATCCGTTTTTTTACACCTGATCATAAACCTAATATCAGATGTGAATTTTCACCACTTCACATGTGTGTGCAAAGTTTCATGAGTTTTAGAGCACCATGAGCCGCTCAAACATGAGATTCATTTCAGAGAATAGTGATAATTCCCTGAGTTTCAGAAGGCACCGTGTGGTGTTCAGGCTCCGAGGTGATTCTGATATAGAGCCCAGTACGCACTGACAGAACCTTGAGACTACAAACCAGAGCAGAGTGTTTGAGTTGATCCATAGATCAGAGTGCTGGCAGCAGTGTTGTCATCATATTTACTGTGGTGATAAACTGTGTTTATCTTTTGGGAAGGGCAAGTGAAAGAGTTCATTGTTTGAGTTAGTGAACAGGACGAGACCTGAAGGCTAAAGTGGTTCATGTTTACTTTCACTTTGTCAGTTTCTCTGTGTGTGTGTGTTTGGAGCTGTTAACAGAGGCCTGACTACTATGTCATTACATTTATTATGATCTGCAGTGCCTATTGTAACTGCCAGAAATACATACTGATGTTGATTCAAATATTTTTGGATAACATCTGTAGTTGCCACTGTTAAATGGATAGTGCACCCAAAAATGAAAATTCAGCCATTATCTACTCACCCATATGCTGAGGTAGGCTCAGGTGCCTCTCTGTGCACTGTGCTCATGTGTGCGCTTGCGCGAGACTGTGAGACATGGGCACTGCTTTCATGTGTGTTTACGTGCTTTCGCTGGTCTCACGCACACGTGAGCGTGGTGCTCAGAGAGGCAGTCAGAGCTACAGGCTACAGTGAGGCTAAAAACAGAGTTCAAATGACGTTTTTCCAAACAACTTTTTATGTCGGGGTTTCAGGACACTTGGATCACTACTGACGATCAGTATGGAGATATTTTGTGGTTTCAATTATGTTGAATCTGGGGCGCCGTCAGCCTCCATTAGGTGGAGTTGTGTTGCTACCTCCTCTCCCCTTGGATCTCTGCAAGTGATGTGAGGACTCTAAAACTTCACCTGAGCCTCCCTCGGCATATGGGTGAGTAGATAATGGCTGAATTTTCATTTTTGGGTGCACTATCCCTTTAACGCTCTGCTCAGTGGGAGAATCTATAAAACACTTTTACATTGTTTGTTCAAGTTGGGAGTGTCACGGCATTATGCCCCCTCACAGTGCTGTGTATAAAGCCCTGTTTCCACCCAGCAGTTCAGTTCAGTCGAATTTTTTCCATTTCCACAGTGGAAGTTGTGGATGGTACCAACTAGGGTTGTGCCGATGGGCGATCAAATCGCCTAGTACCTAGCACACAGATCTGGTACTAAAAGGTGGAGCTAGAAACCCTGCAGTCTGATTGGTCAGTAGGGGACGGTCACTCTGGTTTTATGTAACCTCTGTTCATACATCAGTAAACTACAACTATAAAATAAAGGATGTTTTGCTGCCTCTTGCAGCAGCTGGTGCCAGGGTCTAGGTACCATGTCTGAAGGGTTACTGTTGGGTTCAAAGGTTCTGTACCAAGAGTGTTTGGTGGAAACGGGGCTTTAAAACTCTGCTTGGTTTGTCAGGGCCCCTGAGGTGTTAACTTACTGTTTACTGGTGCCCTGTGCTCTGCCCTGGCTGGTTGATGCTTCTAAGATGAGTTTTTACCCTCCACTCTGTCTCCAGAGACTGAATGCATTTGGATGTCTCGCTCACATTATGAGGTTTTGCTACCTCAGGTTATTACTGACATTATTGACGTCTGTATTACATCTATTATTCAGTAAGTGCATAGCCACTCACAGATACCCTTTCAATTTCACATTAATACAAGTTGTCCCCAGAGTTTAGGCAGGATAAATGGTGCTCAGTGGTGGACGAAGTACCTGAACGCAAACACTTGAGTTAAATTACAGATATCAGAAAGAAATACCAGTAAATGACATTGGAGAACTTAAAGTCGCCCATCGGAATATAAGTTGAGTAAAAGTCTTAAAGTATCTAATATTTACTGTTCTTAGGTACTCAAATGCAGCTTGTCATCCAATATTTATGTTCTGTTCAAATTTGTAAACATAAATGAAAGCATTGATGTGCAAAATGTCACCAGCGGCCCTGTAGCTTCTTCGTCATGCTGCTGATCCTCGTTAAGATCAGTGGATTAACTAATTGTGCTTTGGATTATTTACTCTTTACAAACAATCCAACGTGACTCACTGCAGTCAGACCTCGTTTGTCAGCTCCAGATTGATTTGTATTCCAACGTAAACAGACCAGCAGCATTTTCCTCACAACAGGAGAAAAGCTTCCTCCTGCTGGGAATCAAAATAGTTGATTTATTGTCTCCTGTAACCTCGTTTGACTAAAGCTAATTAGTATCTTTGGTTTGGAAGTAGCCTTTCTGTAAAGTCTTTAGAGCTGGATGGTTGCCAGCAGCCAGACAATGGAATCAGTGATTGCGTCTCCCTTCTCCGTGCCAATGCTTCAGCGGTCTGTTACTTTAAATTGAAATGAAAGCAGTCGGCGTGCAAGGCAGCGCTTAGGAGTCTAGAAAACAAGAGCTGAGGGGAAATGAGGAAACAGCGCTGAACAACACTCTATCTGTGACACCGCTCTGATGTCTGCTGTGTGATTAATGAGCATTCAGATGAATAAATGTATCTCCTCCTGTCCGAGTGGGAGCTAGACGGGAGCGTATTCAGACAGGTCACATGTAGCTGCAGGTCGCCCCCACCGCTGCACCTTGGTAAAGCTAAATTACTTTTCTGTGTGTATCTGTCACTGATAAAGACACAACACACACAGTGAGGCTGCATACATCCACCTACACACCTCACCTAGATCAGGTTCACTACATTGTCGGCTTGAAAGGCACTTGAATACTGATACGGTGGAAACCAACTACAGGAAGCTTTTTTTATGACGAGAGCATCAGTGTTGACAACAATACTTCCTCATTCTTACAAAACCTGACAGAAGTATTCAGGGCAAACTTTGTGAACTGAAACTAAGCACACTGCTTTGTTATCAGATCACCTCAACTGACTTTTGGTTTCACACTTGAAACCAACAATGGGCTTCCTTGAAAAAGTCTGAAGAAGGTTGGCCCAGTGCAGAGTTACCCTCTTGTTTTATCTCTGTAGTTTCCTGGAGCTTCAAC